ACCTCCACATATGCCAATGAGGAGAGTGTCGCCTCGCAGGTTTTCCCCGCGGGCTCCTGGGATTCCAGTGGCCCCGAGACCCCCACAAACGCCAATGAGGAGTGTGTCGCCTACGGTGGGGGCGTTCGTTAAGGAACGTGCCCAGGAGGTTTCAGACCCTGGAGGGTTCACTATCTCATGAGGGCGACGGTGATATCCATGGCAAGTTCGCGATTGGAGTTCCACTGGCTTCCAGATCCGGATTCCTTATCCAATGCTTCCTTATCCAATGCCCCCACCGTAGGTCTGTTCAGAGGCACGGAAGAAAGGCCTTTGTAGGCGGCCGTGAAGTTGAAAGAGACGTGTTAGTTTTTGGAATTGAAGAAAGTACGGCGCGATGCCACGCCGTAAGTCGGAGCCGGCGTGCTTTGGCTATGGTGCGTAGACGGTGATTGTGCAATCATGTGCGTGGGCCTAGGCTCGGGTAACTCGTGCCTGGGTTTGGGCCCCGTGCGGTGCACGAGTCTTTCGGTGTAGCTTTGTGGCCAGCGTCCCCAGGCATTTTGGATCCTCATTTCGAGGATGGCCTCTGGACCCTTGAATCCCTAGCTGGTGGACGAACCTGGCCCCCGCGGAGTCATCTCTTTGTTTATTTATTTCCTCCTTTTCTTCCTCCCTCTTCTCCTTTTGCACCGGGGGGGGGGGGCGTCCGCCTTTTCTTCCTCCCTCTTCTCCTTTTGCACCAGGGGGGGGGGCGTCAGGGTGGGCCATCTCAGGGGGGGGCGCATCGACCTGAAATCGGCGATGCATCGTCGATAGATCGGCGAAAAGGCCCCCGATAACGTACCCGCTAATCCCTGGGCGAGGCGGCGGTCCATGGCCAACGGGGGGGTCGAGGCGTCCCTCCCCGGGCGTAGGCCCCCCCGAGCGCTGCCCCCGAGGAGAGCCTCTCGGGCTCCGCCGTTCGGGACGAGTCGGGCACGCCGCAGCCGCCAAAAAGCAGACCCCGAGGCCGCAGAGCCCCCAGGCACCGACGACGACGCCCGCAAACTCCGAACCGCACATTCCCCGGATGCCCGCCGAGGAGTTTCTGTTCGGTCCGAGGCCCGCGCGGGGGGGTCGACGAATCCCACCCTGAGCTCATCCCCCCTGACGCCGAACCTCGAATTCCCCTGACATCCGCCGAGGAGCTTCTTTCAGTCCGAGGCCCGCGCTGGGAGGTCGACGACTCCCACCCTGGGCCGTGCAGGTCCCGGAGCTCGCAGTGCTCAGTCCGAAAAGCTCGCCGAGCGTTTCTCAACCAGCTTGCCGGAAAGCTGGCTCAGCTTCTGTAAGGGGACCGGTAGCCTCGGATGCCCGAGAGATGCATGGCGTACGTTCCTGGCTCCAAGAAAGCTGGCCCAGCGTTTCCTCAAAGAGACTTCTGAGGAGGAGGAGGAGGAGGAGGATAGGAGGAGGAAGCAAGGAGGAGGAGGAGGAGGAGGAGGAGGAGGAGGAGGAGCTGAGAGCGTTCTTGACCGTATTTTTGACTGCGGTGAAGCCGCCGCTGCCGGCGCCCGGGGGGCGGCCCCCTGCTTCCCTCCCTCCCCATCCCTCCCCTCCCTCCCTCCTCCTGCTCCCTACATTATCGTCCTTCTCCTCCTCCTCCTCCTCCTCCTCCTCCTCCTCCTTACATCATTGTCGTCCTTCTCCTCCTCCTCCTCCTCCTCCTCCTCCTCCTCCTCCTCCTCCTCCTCCTCCTCCTCCTCCCCCTCCTCCTCCTCCTCTCCCCGTCCTCGGCCTTCTCCTCCTCCTCCTCCTCCTCCTCCTCCTCCTCCTCCTCCTCCTCCTCCCTGGCGTTGCCCCTGACCTCGCCCGTCCTCCTCCACCTGCTGTCCGCGCCGACCGCTACCTCCCCTGCGGTCGCCGGCGCGCCGGCTCCCTCCGCGTGGGGGCTCCCAGAGGCCAAAGTTCAGGAGGGGAAAAAACACACAGGCACAAGTAGCCGTCGATTCCCCAGAGAATATTGGAAAATATGGGAAGTGGGTGGGAAGATGAAAACCCAGAAAAACAAAGGAAAATATAGGGGATCCTAGGATTTATGCCCTACCTAGCCTCTGCCTAGAAGGGTTCTTACTGTGTGGGCTTAAAGGGCCGGGCAGTGGAACCCGCCCCGGGCGGTTCCCCCAGGATCCGCCTCGCGGTTCCCCCAGTGACGTTCCTTTAGCTTAGCTTTGCTTATCTCATCTTAGCTTAGCCTAGCTTAACTTAGCTTAGCTTAGTTTAGCTTTGCTTAGCCTAGCGTAGCCTAGCTTAGTGTAGCTTAGCTTAGCTTAACTTAGCTTAGCTTAACCTAGCTTAGCTTATCTTAGCCTAGCTTAGCTTAGCTCGGCTTAGCTTAGCTTAGCTTGGGTTAGCTTAACTTAGCTTTGCTTAGCTTAGCTCAGCCTCGCCTAGCTTAGCTTAGCCTAGCTTAGCTCAGCCCAGCTTAGCTTAGCATAGCTTAGCGCAGCGCAGCGAAGCAAAGCGCAGCGCAACAGTAGCACAGCATAGCATAGCATAGCATAGCAACTAATATCATAGCATAGCATAGCACATATCAGCATATCATAGCATATCATAGCACAGCATGGCGCAGCATAGCATAGCATAGCATAACATAGCATAGCATTGCTTAGCATAGCACATCGCAGCATAGCATAGCATAACACAGCACATCAAAGCATAGCATAACATAGCATAGCGCATAATAACATAGCATAGCATTGCATACCCTAGCGCAGCATAGCATAGCATAGCATCGCACATCATAGCGTAGCATAGCGCAGCATAACATAATATAGCATATCATAGCATCGTGCAGCATATCATAGCGCAGCATATCATAGCATAGCATATCATAGCCTAGCATAACACAGCGCAGCCGAGCGTACCCTAGCATAGCATAGCATAGCATAGCGCAGCATAGCGCAGCATAGCGCAGTTAGCAAAACATCGCATATCATAGCATAACACAGCGCAGCATAGCAGGGCATATCATAGCATAGCAGCAAAGCACAGGCACAGCAACAGCAGCAACAGCAACTCAACTCATAGATGTTAATGTAGCTGTCGGTGTAGATGTAGATGTTGCTTTCCTAGATGCTCCAACTCCTAGGTAGGGTCGCACTGGGATAATGTGTATTTATTTGTGTGTGTGTGTGTCCCCGGGAGGGCCTGTGACTCTGGATCCGCCGTACTTTGGGCGAGTTCGGCTGGGGCAGAGATTCTTGGCCTACTTTTCAAGCTTCTTTGATGTCAACCTCCGCCCTGCTTTGCCGTCGCTGTTTCCGCCATGCGTTGGCGGAATTATCCGCCCTATAGCTCTGAGGCAGAAGTTCCCGCTCTACTTTCTAACATCGCTCGGGGGGCACATCCAATACAATCTGCAGTCGGAGGCTCCACCAAAGTACGCCGGATCTGGAGTCAGGAGAGAGCGGAGGGAGCGGGGGGGAGGGAGCGGGGGAGATGGGGAAGATGGCGGAGGGTGGGATGGTGACAGGGTTCTGAGAGTCCCGCGCAGGGATCGGGCGCGCCGGCGGCTGGAGAAGGCAGGGGGCTTCGCAGCGAAGTGCGGCCAGAAGAGGACGGAATGGCGGGCGAATGGGATCGAGCTTCGAGGATCGAGGTTCGAAGTTCGTGCTGGCTTTTCACATTTCCGGGGTCTCCAGCATGCTTCCCCTAGCAACGGCTAAGTTGCCCTCGTGATTGTGGTCAAAGCGCACCCCAGGACCCCAGGAAGGGCTCAGGGAGCGAATAATGAAGGAAGAGGAGGGAGGGGACGGGGGTGATAGGGAGGGAAGGAGGGAGGGAGGGAGGAAGGGAGGGAAGAAAGAGACATAGAGAGAGAGAGAGAGAGAGAATGAGAGAGAGAGATAGATAGAGAGAGAAAGAGAGAGAGAGAGAGAAAAAGAAAGAGAGAGAGAGAGAGAGAGAGAGAGCCGGCGGGAGGGGGAAAGATGTCAGAGGTTGGGAGGCAGGGGCGGAGGGGGGGGGGCAGGGAGGGAGGTGGAAGTGAGGGAGGGCGGAGGGAGGGGGGAGCGGGAGGAGAATGGAGGTGAGGAGACACGCAGGAGAGTGGAGGCGCAGCAGGGAGGAGGGAGTGGCAGAGCAGAGGCGGGAGGGAGGGTTGAAGAAGGGGCGTGCAGTGAGTGTCGGCGCCCGTGTCGGCAGAGGCGGGTGCAGAACCTCCTCCGTCGCTTGCTCGAGTCGCTGCAGGAGCTGCCTGGAACGAGAGGGCACTGCTCCTTGTCATGTCGTCCTCCCCCTCCTTCTGCTCCTCTCCTCCTGCTTCTCCTGCAGTTGCCGCTGCTGGTCCTTCTCCTGCTCATCCCACTCACGCTCCCCTTACTCCTCCGTGTTCCTTTCTCCTCCTCCTCTTCCTCCTCCCCCCTCCTTCGTATCATCTGGAAGCGTAGGTTGGTAGATGGCACGGGTGAGCGGCCAGTATAGCTCTCGCGCAGGGCATGATTTACCATGATCCGTAACCCTTGGTGGCCTAGGCAGGAGTCTTCATGATATTCTCCGCTCCTCCTCCTCCTCGTATTTCTCCTTCTCCTATTCCATCGTCTTCTTCCGCCTCTTCAACTTTTTGCTCCTCCTCTGCAAGTTCGATCGAGCCTCAACTTGTTCCCTCTGAGACAGGAGGCATTTCGTCACATGATGTGTCCTGGGCTGCTGAGGTCTTTTGCAGGAGGAGGAGGAGGAGGAGGAGGAGGAGGACCATGTCGGCAGGCATTTGTTTCGTTTTGAAGCGTGTTCTCTCCCAGACGCTCAGCCTCCCACCCTGCCCCGTCTTCCTGCGGAAGTGCTGCATGCAAGGGCTGGGCTTGTCCTGTAACCATCTTGCCGTCCTGCGCGAGAAAGGTACAGACGGCACGCGCGCGTGGTTGAGAGATGGAGTGGGCTCCGTCGGAAGCCTGGCATGCGGGCACCGCGATGCCAGGAGGGAAACACCCTGGAGGGAGCGACCGGGCGACTAAGACGTGACGGGAGCGATCCGAATGACCAAGGCGGACGGCAAAGGGGTCGGGGGTGGACAGAACCCTCAACAGTGACACGTCGATTAGTGAATTGTCCGTTTTCGGTTCTCGAGAGGTCGCCGCCGCCGTCATTTTCCAGGGTTGCGCCCGCCAGGTTTGGGCCTCAGGTCGTTTTCACTAAACCACGTTTTTACTGAAGGGGGGTCTGTCCATCCCCGAAGGGGGGGGGGGGGGGGAAGAAGCGTGGGATGTTCGTGCGTTGCAGGGAGGTGGCCCTGCATAGGGGCCCCCAGCGGCCCCGGAGCTGCTGCCACCGCGGGCCCCACAGCTGCACGACAGGTGCACGCTTTCACCCCACGCTTGGTTGCCCCCTCGTGACCGAGCACCCGAACGAGATGGAGCTCCTCCTCCTCCTCCTCCTCCTCCTCCTCCTCCTCCTCCTCCTCGGGGGAGGGGGCGGGGGCCCGAGCCCAGCGAAGGACTCCTTCGACGGCCGCGGTGAACGGGGCAGCGACGTGGTCGGCTCCTCCTTCGACCTGCTCGCAAGCTGCACGCTGCCACAGCGGTCGCCCCAGGCGGGGCTGCCCACCCTGCCTTATCCCTCTCTTCCCGTTCACCTCACCTTGGGCTGCAACTCCTGGAGGCGCTGGTATACCCCTGGTCGAAAACGTGCCGAATCTGGTCGAAACCTGGTTCATTATGTTTTTTCACGGGCTTGATTTGATTAATTTGTTTCATCCAGCTTCATCCGGGACTTCATTAGGGCTAATATGGCTAAACTGTCCTTTAGTGTGGCTCAATCGCGTGCTAAACTGTCCTTTAGTGTGGCTCAATCGCGTTTAATCGTTATGACGAGTACCTCCCAGGAGCTGTGTCCTAACTCCTCCTCCGTCTCCTCTTGCTCAGCCCGCCTCTTCCTTCACTCTCCTCTTCCTCGCTGTCCTCTTCTTCCAGCGTGCTCGTTCTTGCTCAAGCCGCGCTCTTGTGGAGTCCACGAGGGTTGCTCTGGCGGAGCTTGGTTTTCCCTAATTGGATTCGACGACGCCCTTTTTATGTTTTGTTGCGTAGCAGCCTGGCGGTCGCCTGCCTTCTGCTTCCTCTGCCTGGGCACATGTTCTCCCTTAGTGCCAGTTCGCTGGAGGGTTCTCCTAGAGTCCTAGAGGTAAGAGAGGACCACAGACGAGTCCCACAAGGGGTACAGGGGAGCTGGGGACCGCGCCCCGAGATCGCCGGCTCCAGTGCCTCAGGAAGCGTGATCTCGCCTCAATGCCAGCTACATGTTTGGTCTGGGCGGTAACGATCCTTGGTGTACAGACGGAATGAGGTGCACATGGCCTTCCCTTTACCAGCCTCTCCTGTAGCCGACCTCCCACTCCTCGGCCCGACTCTTCAATCTTGCTGCTCTTAGGGTGCCTTGCGGGGGTAGCCTTTAGAGAGGCTCCAGTGCCAGAGGGCTCCAGTGCCAGAGTGTTGCGATGGCTATCCCTCCTGCCAGATCCCAAGGGCTTGCTCGGGGGCTCCCGAGGGTTGCTCGGTTCGTCCAGTTGGTTCCCCGGATATGCATTGTCTTGCATTCGTTTGCGTTGATATCAGGAGCAGCACTGTGCCCCTTTTTGCAACTCCATGTTTTGATGCTCCATGCGACGCTATGCCGCATTCAACCGTACTGTAAAAGTATATGCTAAGCTGCTATGTGCAATGCCATGCTATCCAGTTCAATGTCATGATCTACTGTGGTTTGTGGTGCGTTGCAGCGCTATGCCACCATGTCATGGCATGCCGTGCACTGCCAAGTGATGCGACCTTCCGCAATGCTACGCGCTGCCATGTCATGGTACGATGTTTGTTGACACGCAATGCGGTGGATTTCGATGCAGCGTTACGCTATCCTTTGCAACGAATTGTAATACTAATGCTATGCCGTGATAGGATGTGCTACGCCCCGCCCCTCTATGCCGTCAGTACCATTTCAAACAATGCCATACGATGACCTACGACACTCTGCAGTTATATGCTATGATATGCTATGCCATGCCGTGCAGTTGTTTGCCATGCTACGCTTTCCTAGCTTCTTCAAATCAAGCCAGCGCTATTGTATACTGCGGCGCGCGAGGCGTAGTCACGCTATGCATTTCTACTTTACATCGAGCTGGGTTTTACATTCGCCGCTTTCCGTTGCATCTCAGCGCACTGCTGTGCAGACCAACGGTTCCAACATGCGTTTCCTGTGATTTGGGCCGCGCCGGCTTCATCCCCATGCCATACGTGGAGTGGTACAAATTCTTGACGCTTCGCGTACCCCCACCAGCTGTACCGCCGTCCCGAACATCGCCTGTTGCCGCCAGACCGTCGTCGCGCGGCCGCCGACCAACAACAAGTACCCCCACCAGCCTTGTATACTTGAGGATATGCCTGTCCTTGGTTCAGTTTGGCGTACTCCAGGCGGCAGCACTACCACCAGTGCAGCACCCCCCCATATTCCTCTACCTCGCTGGCGATGCTCACCACGCCGGCTGGCTTTCTCCATCACCCTGGGCTTGACGCCGTGCCGCTACGCACTGCGTGGCTCGCAGTCGTTCGGCTTCCCCCCTACACTGTTGGGTGGACTGGCGGGTGTTGATATTGCCACGGAGTGGTTCAGCCTTCCGCAGCAGCTGCAGCACCCCAGGCTCACCATCAGCTATCAGCAGGTTGCGTTGCACCACGTTCCGCGACAGCTCAGCCCCCCTGGCTAGCACACGTCGTCTAGGGCGTTTGGAGCCTGGCGCCCCACCAGCGACTTGCTCCACGGGCCTCGCGCCTGCCCCCACTCAGAACGACGGACTCGGTTGCTCAGGTACACGTCTTGTTACTGTGTGGGCCGTGCCTCATGGCAGGCATCGAATTCCTCGACATTTTGTTCTGTGCATGTGCTCGAGCTTCCCAGGATCCCCCGCCGTCAGTCTTCCCTCAGCTTCGCGGCTGCTTTGTGAGTGGGCTGGCCGGCTATTGTGCCTCCTGTAGCTAATTCGGCTTGCCCGTTGGCCCAGACTCCCTGCCCGCCGCCTGCCTCTTCTCTTGCGGCCGCGACCGAAAACCCCGCACCAGTCCAGCCTCCCTCGGCGGCAGCCTCGGCAGCCGTGAGCGTCCGCTGGGTAATTAGGCTTCGCCCGTAGCCCGGGTTGACCTCTGACGCCGCATGCTCCTTCGCTTGTGGCTGCGACGAAAGAAAATATCTCCACCAGTGCCGTAGCAGGCTCGGCGTTCGACTCGTTTCGCGCGCCCTCGGACCAAACAGTATCCCCACCAGCCCGTCCAGAAACGATGCCCAGGTGAGTTGCCATGATCAGGGAAGCGGAGGAGCATGCAGTGGATCAAGAGTTGGGGAAGCCGTCAAATTGAAGCCTTGGATCAGCCTGCGCAGACCCAGGAGCGAACCGCATGCGCCTTCTCGGACCTGCCGATTGAGGACAGGCGGGGAAGAAGGACGAGGGGGATGAGGGAGAAGAGGAGGAGGAGGAGAAGGAGGAGAAGGACGAGGAGGGAAAATGAGGAGGAGGAAGGATGATGGAGGAGGGGAGGAAGAGGAGGAGGAGAAGGTGGAGGAGGGAGGTGAGCACAAGAAAGATGAAGTTGATGGAACGCCTCCTCAGTCAACTCCTTGTGGACCACGGTTGGAGGAGGGGGAGGAGGAGTGGAAGTGGGAGGAGGGAGGAGAGAGGAACAGGGATAGGTGGATGATGAGGAGGAGGCCAAGAAGAGGAAGAGGAAGAGGAACATGGCGTGCGGGGGGCCTAGTGGGACGTCTTGGGAGCCTCTTGGCGGTCCGCAGTGCCCAAATTCGTCTCTTGGACCCCTCTTGGGCCCCTCTTGGAGCGCTCGCTCGTGGGCGCTCCTGGGCCGTCTTGGGGCTCTATTGGGCATCTCTTGGAGCCCCCAGGCGCCCTGTTGTAGCCTTCTTGAGGCCTCGGAAGGCCCTCGCATGCAAAAAGGCGAGAAGGCCAAACTCACTGCTATTCCTTAGGTTTTAAAAGGATTCCTCTCGCTTCGCGGGTTGCACGTCCGGAGCACGTACAGTCCAGTCGTTGTGCGTTGGGGGCCTCTTGGGCCTGACTCCTGGGGGCCTCCGGGAGGCCGAGATCCCCCGACAATCAGTGCCATCGTCCAACCGCGGCAACGCAGGCTTGGTGTGACCTGCCTGCCGGAAGTCTTAGTTCGTACCAGAGTGGCCTGTCGTTTGTGGCCGCAGGAAAAATACAACTGGCGCAGTGTGTCGGTGTGAGATGATTTGACCTGCGCGACTGCTGCCTCCTGGGTTTCGCACGCCGTTCGGCCGTCTCGGTCGTCCAGAGTGCGTGTTGCGCGCATCGTGGAAGACATCTGGCGCCCCTGGGGCCTCTTGGGGGCCCCTTTGGGCTGTTTGGAGTAGTTCGGAGCATTTACAATCCAATCGTTTGGAGCGCTCCTGGGGTCCTTTTGGGGGGCCTCCTGGGGGTCTCTTGGGAACGTCTTGGATCGTCCTGGGGTGATTGAGGTTTCTTGGGGACTTTTTGGCAGCTTCTGGGGGGCCTCTGGGGGGCCTCTTGGGGGCCTTTCGGAGCCCCGTGTGGGTCTCTTGGGCCGTCATGGTGCGCTCTTGCGTTGTCTGGTCCCTTCGGAGGCCGTCTTGGGGCCTGAAGAGGCCGCGTTGGGGCTCTCTTGGGGTCCTCTTGGGCCGTCTTGGGGGCCTCTTGGGGCGTCTTCGGGGCCTCTTTGAGCCATCTTGGGGCCTGGTTGTGCCGTCCTGGGGCCCTCTTGGGATTTTTGTTGTGCCATCTTGGGGCGAATTTGGAGGCTGCTTGGGCCGTCATGGGCTTCTGAGAATCGAAAACAGCAAGAACGCTGAAATCCTTCGAAACCAGATGGGAAATCATGTATTTTGGCCTCTGGAGGCGCACTTGGGGGTCCTCCTGGGGCCCTTTTGGGGCGCCAGGAGAACTTTTGGGGCCCCCTTGGGGCCATCCTGGTCCGTCTTGGAGCCGTCTTGGCCCGTCTGGAAGCCATCTGGAGCAGTCAGGAGGCCCCTCTGGACCGCCAAGAGGCCCAGCAGGTCTAAATCCGCCGACCCCGCGTGGGTCTTTAGGCGTGTGAGACTATCCCCCCCATAATCCTCCCCCCAGGGACCCCGAACCAGCAATTAGACGCCCCTCTGGCCCGGCGCGACCTCGGACCGAACGCGCCATGGGGGAGCAGAGGCCAAAACGGACCAAGAAGGCACCAAAACGCTCCCCAGACAGTCCCAGAGGGCCACGGGTCGCCGAAATATCGTTCCTTGTCGCCCACGATGGCCTCCAGACGGCCTCCGAAGCTGCCAAGACGCTCCAAAAGGCCCCCAAGATGCGTCCCAAGAGGGTCCCAAGACGCAAACATCGTTCCATTCCCTTTTGAAAAAAAAGGAGCATTGTTCGCATACTCGCCTCGTCGGCTTTCACAACGTCCAAGACGGGCAAATAAATCTTCAATATCGCACCCAGACGGCCGAAGGGGCCCCCAAGAGGGGCCGACGCCCCGAAGACAGCCCAAGAGGGCCCCCAGACGGCTCCAATAGGGAGTCCAG